GGGGGTTTTTTGGGGTTTTTGGGGTTTTGGGGTTTGGGGTTTGGGATTGGGGGATTTTGGGTTGTTAATTTGGGGTATTTATTTAGGATTTTAGGGATGTTATTTGGGATTTTTGGGGCATTATTAGGGCCATTATTAGGGTTATTAATCTGGGATTTTTGAGCCGTTATTAGGGCTGTTATTAGGGATATTAATCTGGGATTTTTGGGCCCTTATTAGGGATATTTTGGCCATTATTAGGGCTATTATTAGGGATATTAACCTGGGAATTTTTGGCCATTATTAGGGACATTTTGGGCCATTATTAGGGCTATTATTAGGGCTATTAATCTGGGATTTTTGGGCTATTATAAGGGATATTAATCTGGAATTTTTTGACCATTATTAGGGATATTATTAGGGCTATTATTAGGGCCATTATTAGGGCTATTAATCTGGGGTTTTGGGGCTATTATTAGGGATATTAATCTGGGATTTTTTGGCCATTATTAGGGATATTAGGGCTATTATTAGGACTATTATTAAGGCTAGTATTAGGGCTATTAATCTGGGATTTCTGGGCCATTATTAGGGACATTAGGGCCATTATTAGGGCTATTATTAGGGTTATTAATCTGGGATTTTTGGGCTATTATAAGGGATATTAATCTGGGATTTTTGGGCCCTTATTAGGGATATTTTGGCCATTATTAGGGCTATTATTAGGGCTATTAATCTGGGATTTTTGGGCTATTATAAGGGATATTAATCTGGAATTTTTGGACCATTATTAGGGATATTAGAACCATTATTAGGACTATTAATCTGGGATTTTTTGGCTATTATTAGGGATATTAATCTGGGATTTTTTGGCCATTATTAGGGATATTAGGGCTATTATTAGGACTATTATTAAGGCTAGTATTAGGGCTATTAATCTGGGATTTCTGGGCCATTATTAGGGACATTAGGGCCATTATTAGGGCCATTATTAGGGCTATTAATCTGGGGTTTTGGGGCTATTATTAGGGATATTAATCTGGGATTTTTTGGCCATTATTAGGGATATTAGGGCTATTATTAGGACTATTATTAAGGCTATTATTGGGGCTATTAATCTGGGATTTCTGGGCCATTATTAGGGACATTAGGGCCATTATTAGGGCTATTATTAGGGTTATTAATCTGGGATTTTTGGGCTATTATAAGGGATATTAATCTGGGATTTTTGGGCCCTTATTAGGGATATTTTGGCCATTATTAGGGCTATTATTAGGGATATTAACCTGGGAATTTTTGGCCATTATTAGGGACATTTTGGGCCATTATTAGGGCTATTATTAGGGCTATTAATCTGGGATTTTTGGGCTATTATAAGGGATATTAATCTGGGATTTTTTGGCCATTATTAGGGATATTAGGGCTATTATTAGGACTATTATTAAGGCTAGTATTAGGGCTATTAATCTGGGATTTCTGGGCCATTATTAGGGACATTAGGGCCATTATTAGGGCCATTATTAGGGCTATTAATCTGGTATTTTTGGGCCATTTTAAGGGATATTTTTCCCGGATTTTTGACCAATTATTAGGGATATTAGGACCATTATTAGGAGCGTTATTAGGCGCCTCACCTGGGTTGTACACCTGCACACTCCGGCTTCCCCGGGCGTGCTCGGCCCGGCACCAGAAGGGCTGCCGGCCCTTCCCCTCCTCCAGCTCCATTCCCAGCCGGGAGGCGGCCAGGAACCTTCCGGAACTCCGCACCGGCGGGAAGATGGCGGCGCCCGGAGCGCTCCGGTTCTCCCGGTCGCGCCAGGCGAAGCCGACGGGCGGCGGCGTGAAGCCCACGGCCACGCAGCCCACCGAGAACGCCGTGCCGGAGCCGCAGGGCGACAGCGGGAACAGATCCGGGGCCCGGGCGGAGCCTGGGGGGGGAGAAAATTCCGGAAAATTCCATGGCGGGGGAGGAAAAAAAGGGGAATGTTTTTTGGCGGGAAATTTTTTTGGCGGGAAGTTTTTTTGGCGGGAAATTTTTTTGGCCGGGATTATTTATTTTGGCAGGGATTCCGGAGGTTTTCCCGCCCTGGTTTTGGCGGGAAAAGCGTCGGGGTTTGGAACGGTACAGACCAGTATAAACCAGTATAAACCAGTACAGACCAGTCCATACCAGTCCAAACTGGTTCAGACCAGTACGAACCAGTCCAGACCAGTCCAAACCAGTCCAAACCAGTCCAAACCAGTCCAAACCAGTCCAGACCAGTATAAACCAGTACAAACCAGTACCAGCACCCGCAGCCACCCCAGCTTTACCAGTATAGACCAGTATAGACCAGTCCAAACCTGTATAAACCTGTCCAGACCAGTCCAGACCAGTCCAAACCAGTCCAAACCAGTCCAGACCAGTATAAACCAGTCCAAACCAGTATAAATCAGTACAAACCAGTACTGGCACCCTCAGCCACCCCAGCTTTACCAGTATAGACCAGTTCAGACCAGTCCAGACCAGTCCAAACCAGTCCGAACCAGTCCAAACCAGTCCAAACCAGTCCAAACCAGTCCAGACCAGTATAAACCAGTCCAAACCAGTCCAGACCAGTCCAAACCAGTCCAGACCAGTCCAGACCAGTCCAAACCAGTAAAAACCAGTCCAGACCAGTATAAACCAGTACAAACCAGTACCGGCACCCTCAGCCACCCCAGCTTTACCAGTATAGACCAGTTCAGACCAGTCCAGACCAGTCCAAACCAGTCCAGACCAGTATAAACCAGTATAAACCAGTATAAACCAGTCTAAACCAGTATAAACCAGTACAAACTGGTTCAGACCAGTCCGAACCAGTCCAGACCAGTTCAAACCAGTCCAAACCAGTCCAAACCAGTAGAAACCAGTACAAACTGGTTCAGACCGGTACGAACCAGTCCAGACCAGTCCAGACCAGTAAAAACCAGTATAAACCAGTATAAACCAGTATAAACCAGTACTGGCACCCACAGCCACCCCAGCTTTACCAGTATAAACCAGTATAGACCAGTCCAGACCAGTCCAAACCAGTATAAACCAGTATAAACCAGTACCAGCACCCGCAGCCACCCCAGCTTTACCAGTATAGACCAGTATAGACCAGTCCAAAAAAGTCCAAACCAGTCCAAACCAGTTCAGACCAGTCCAAACCAGTCCAGACCAGTCCAAACCAGTCCAGACCAGTCCAGACCAGTAAAAACCAGTATAAACCAGTATAAACCAGTCCAGACCAGTACCAGCACCCACAGCCACCCCAGCTTTACCAGTATAGACCAGTTCAGACCAGTCCAAACCAGTCCAGACCAGTCCAAACAAGTCCAGACCAGTCCAGACCAGTATAAACCAGTATAAACCAGTTCAAACCAGTATAAACCAGTCCAGACCAGTACCAGCACCCTCAGCCACCCCAGCTTTACCAGTATAGACCAGTTCAGACCAGTCCAAACCAGTCCAAACCAGTCCAGACCAGTCCAAACCAGTCCAAACCAGTCCAAACCAGTATAAACCAGTATAAACCAGTATAAACCGGTACTGGCACCCTCAGCCACCCCAGCTTTACCAGTATAGACCAGTTCAGACCAGTCCAAACCAGTCCAAACCAGTCCAGACCAGTCCAAACCAGTATAAACCAGTACAAACCAGTACCAGCACCCGCAGCCACCCCAGCTTTACCAGTATAGACCAGTTCAGACCAGTATAAACCAGTATAAACCAGTATAAACCAGTATAAACCAGTCTAAACCAGTATAAACCAGTACAAACTGGTTCAGACCAGTCCGAACCAGTCCAGACCAGTTCAAACCAGTCCAAACCAGTCCAAACCAGTAGAAACCAGTACAAACTGGTTCAGACCAGTCCGAACCAGTCCAGACCAGTTCAAACCAGTCCAAACCAGTCCAAACCAGTCCAAACCAGTATAAACCAGTACAAACCAGTACCAGCACCCACAGCCACCCCAGCTTTACCAGTATAAACCAGTATAGACCAGTTCAGACCAGTTCAGACCAGTCCAAACCAGTCCAGACCAGTAAAAACCAGTCCAGACCAGTCCAAACCAGTCCAAACCAGTCCAGACCAGTATAAACCAGTCCAAACCAGTCCAGACCAGTCCAAACCAGTCCAGACCAGTAAAAACTAGTATAAACCAGTATAAACCAGTCCAAACCAGTACCGGCACCCTCAGCTACCCCAGCTTTACCAGTATAGACCAGTCCAGCTTTACCAGTATAGACCAGTTCAGACCAGTCCAGACCAGTCCAAACCAGTCCAGACCAGTATAAACCAGTATAAACCAGTATAAACCGGTACTGGCACCCTCAGCCACCCCAGCTTTACCAGTATAGACCAGTTCAGACCAGTATAAACCAGTAAAAACCAGTTAGAACCAGTTAGAACCAGTACTGGACCAGTCCAGACCAGTAAAAACCAGTTAGAACCAGTTAAAACCAGTCCAAACCGGTACAGGACCAGTCCAGACCAGTTAAAACCAGTCCAAACCAGATCAGACCAGTTCAGACCAGTAAAAACCAGTAAAAACCAGTTAGAACCAGTTAAAACCAGTCCAAACCAGTAAAAACCAGTTAAAACCAGTTAGAACCAGTTAAAAGTTAAAACCAGTAAAAACCAGTAAAAACCAGTAAAAACCAGTAAAAACCAGTAAAAACCAGTTAGAACCAGTTAAAACCAGTCCAAACCAGTAAAAACCAGTTAAAACCAGTTAGAACCAGTTAAAACCAGTAAAAACCAGTTAAAACCAGTAAAAACCAGTAAAAACCAGTCCAGACCCAAATTCCCATCCCACCGATGAATTCCTCTCATTAATCGCAATTAATCAGCCCCTAATAATCCCCCGATTAATTAGCGTTAATTAACGGCAGTCATTAGGAATTCACAGCGGTTATTAATGATTGCCGTTAATTAATGCAATTATTTCTAATGATTTCCTCTGATTTCCTAATTATTCCTAATTATTCCTAATTATTCCTAATTATTCCTAATTATTCCTGATTATTCCTGATTATTCCTAATAATTCCTAATAATTTCTAATTATTATTAATTCCTAATATCCACTTAAAAGGACTAATAGAAATCGGATTAAATTCTATTAAAACCATTAATAGTCTATTAAAACCTATTAATAATCGATTATAATCCAATTAAATTCAATAAAAATCCGATTAAATTCGATTAAAATGTGATTAAATCCTATTAAAATCCATCAATAATCGATTCAAATCCGTAAATAATGGATTAAAAACCGAGAGAAGCCCAATTAAAACTGATTAAAACAAAATTAATTCTATCTAAAACGAATAAAAATAAATTAAAATAAATTAAAACTAGTTAAAAGCCTAATAAACCAAATTAAATCAAATTAAATCAAATGAAAACCAATGAAAACCAATTAAAACCAATTAAAAGCCTAATAAAACAAAATAAAACCAATTAAAATCAATTAAAACCCTAATAAACCAAATTAAAAGCAATTAAAAGCAATTAAAATGAAATAAAACCGATTTAAACTAAATAAAAGCTATAATTAATCATCGAATTAAATTAAAACCAAATAAAACGAATAAAATTAATTGAAGCCAATTAAACCGAGTTAAATTCAATTAAAATTCAATTAAAACGGAATTAAATTCAATTAAAATTAATTAAAGCAAATAAAACTGAATTAAGTTCAATTAAAATTCAATTAAAATTCAATTAAAATTCAATTAAATCTCAGTTAAATCTCAAATCTAAATTAAATCTAAATTAAATCTCAATTAAATCTCAATTTAATCTATATAAAATCTAAATTAAATCTAAATTAAATCTAAATTAAATCTAAAATAAATCTCATTTAAATCTCAATTAAATCTCACTTAAATCTCAATCAAAATTCAATTAAAAGTCAATTAAATCTCAATAAAATCTCAATTAAAATTCAATTAAATCTCAAATCTCAATCAAAACTCGATTAAATCTAAATTAAAATTCAATTAAATCTCAAAACTCAATCAAAATTCATTTAAATCTAAATTAAATCTCAATTAAATCTCAATTAAAAACCAATTAAAACCCAATTAAAACCCAATTAAAACCAACGAACCCCATTAAAATCCCCGGCATTAAATAAAAACCCTAAAAATCTCTTTTTTCCACTAAAATCGCCCAAAATCGAATTTTTCTGCACAAAAATCTCCTTTTTACCCCAAAATTCGATTTTTTCTCCTTAAAATCCCCCCAAAATCGAATTTTTCTCTTTAAAAAAATCGCTTTTTCAACACAAAATTCAATTTTTTTCCCCAAAAATTCAATTTTTCCCTACAAAAAATCTCATTTTTCCCCATTTTACCCCAAAATTCAAATTTTTTCCCCCTAAAAATTCAATTTTTCCCTACAAAAAATCTAATTTTTCCCCATTTTCACCCCAAAATTCAAATTATTTCCCCAAACACCCATAATTTGAATTTTTCTCTCTCCCAGGTGTTGTTTTCCACCCCAAAAAGGGGAAATTTGGCCCCAAAAAAGCCCCAAACTTCTCCTTTTTTTGTTGTTTTCGAAACCTCCCCGGGGTTATTTTGGGTGGGAACCGAAAGAATTTTGAGGCCAAATTTCCCCTTTTTGGGTCGGTTCCACTTTTGGGGTAAAAAAAGGGATTTAATTGGATTTTTTTAATTGATTTTTAATTGGGTTTTTTTGGGGTTATTTGATTATTTTTAAAGGTTTTTGGTTTATTTTTAAATTTATTTTTCTGGTTTTTTTAATTAAATTAAATTTGATTTGATTTAATTTAATTTAATTTAATTGTATTATTTTATTTTATTTTATTTTAATTTAATTTAATCTAACTTTAATTTAATTTAATTTAATTTAACTGTGTTTAAATTCAATTTAATTATTTTCTTTTCTTT